GGCCCGGGCATCCTGAAAACCAGGCGGCTGCCTCCACGTTCCTTTCTGCGCCTGCGCGGAGGCGTGACGCAACCCGACGCCTGCCGGTGGCGCTGAAACGTCATCTTCGGGCGCCGCCGGGCTCCCTGCCCAGGCTCCCTCGGCCAAGATGGCGGCGGTCGCATCCTGGGGCTGCCGGGTAAGCCTCCGGGCGGAGGGTCCTGCGGGAGGAAGGGGGTCCTCCGAGGCGGGGCGGGGGCCGTTCCCTCCGACCGTCCCTCTTTCCCCGGAGCGCGGGCGGAGAGTCCCGCTTGAAGCCAGCCGGCCCCGGCCCCGTCACGTGTGAACGCAACACGTGCCGGGGAGAAGCGCGGGGAAGGCGCTGCAGGACGGGAATCCTAAAGGGGGGGAGGGCAGCAGGCGGGGTGGGTGGGAGGGGGGAGGGGCTGAGTGGCCTGAAGCGGTTGAACCCCGAAAAACCCCGCATGCAACCCGGCTTATCAGGTCCGGACACGCGTCCTTTTAACAGGGCTGGGCCTCCGGAGCCCTCCTGGCCGAAGGCCTCGCCTCCCATACAGAAGATGCGGTTGTTGGGATTGGAACTGGGAACGTGCAGAAGCCAGAGCTCCTCACCAGATGGAAGCTGCTCTAGAGCAGGAGTCTCCAGACTTGGCCACCCGGAAGGCTTGTGGACTTCAACTCCCAGAATTCCCCAGCCAGCATGTCCAGACATGTCAACCGGAAGACTTGTGGACTTCAACTCCCAGAATTCCCCAGCCAGCATGTCCAGACATGTCAACCGGAAGACTTGTGGACTTCAACCCCCATAATTCCCCAGCTGGCACGTCCAGATTTGTCAACTGGAAGACTTGCAGATTTTAACTCCCAGAATTCTCCAGCCGGCACATCCAGACATGTCAACCGGAAGACTTGTGGTCTTCCACTCCCAGAATTGCCCAGCCATCAAAGTCTTCCAAGAGGCCAAGTTTGGAGAACCGCTGCTTTACAGGTCAGAATTTCCTGCTGGGAATTCAACATCTGGCAAATCTCAAACCTGGATTGAGGGAATCGCAATTCCTGGATTTGCTTCTATGCTGTGCTCAAAACCCATCACGGGGTGGCTTTCATTATTTCATTCGTTTATTTATTAAATTTGCTGCCCGTCTCACCACAAGGCGACTCTGGGTGGCTGAACAACATTAAACACAACGGATGAAGTTGCCCCGCATCTTCAGATGCTCTCTGCACTCCCACACACTCTGAACCACACGAGATGTCCGGTCCTGTGTCAGCTTCTCCTAGTGTGGGGTGTGAACCTGCTTTCTGCAACTCCTTACCTTGTTTACCGACCGCTCTCTTTCCTTGGCCGTTCCCAGCAAAGCTGTCGCCAGGAAGAAATGCTAATGCCGTGCTTTTCTCTTTCTAATCCTAGAAATACCTCTTAAATGCGTGGCTTGTATCCAGACAATCCGCCGGCCCGGTGCAGCACCCCTCCTGCGTGTGCCGAACGAGCAGATTGGCGTTAGAATTTTATCAGGTGCGTTTCTAGTCGATAAAAGCTTTACAAGCTAATCCTTGACTTACAACAACAGCAACTGAGGTTAAGCAAGACAGTTATTAAGTGAGCTTTGGCCTATTTTCTTGCCACAGTTGTTAAGCACTGCAGTTGTAAAGTTATTAACACGGCCGTTAAGTGAATCTGGCTTCCCACATTTGACTTGGCTTGTCAGAAGGTCGCAAAAGAGGATCACGTGACACCCTGCCCCCCCCCCCCCAGGGACACTGCAACCGTCATAAATATGAACCAGTTGCCAAGCGTCTGATTTTTTGATCACACGGGGAGCGCTGCAGCGGTCATGAGTGTTAAAAAATGGTCATCAGTCACTTTAGTGCCGTTGTAACTTTGAATGGTCACTAAATGAATGATTGTAACTCAGGGACTACCTGTATTATGATGATAAAAGTACAGGTGGCGTTGGCTATCTTTGACGGCAGAAATGAAAGGCGGAGTAGAAAATACCAAACAGGAATAGGAAATTAAGGTAGGAATGGAAGGTTACTCTGGGGTGCAGAGGTGGAGAGTTGGTCACCGCGATGTAAAAAAGATGTTGAGACTCTAGAAAGAGTACAGAGAAGAGCAACAAAGATGATCAGGGGACTGGAGGCCAAAGCATATAAGGAACGGCTGCTGGAATTGGGTCTGTCTAGTTTAATGAACAGAAGGACCAGGGGGGACAGGATAGCAGTCTTCCAGTATCTCAGGGGCTGCCCCAAAGAAGAGGGAGTCAAGCTATTCTCCAAAGCGCCTGAAGGCAGGACAAGAAGCAACGGGTGGAAACTAATCAAGGAGAGAAGCAATCTAGAACTAAGGAGAAACTTCCTGCCAGTTAGAACAATTAACCAGTGGAACCACCTGCCTCCAGAAGCGGTGAACGCGCCAACACTGGAAGTTTTTAAGAAGAGACTGGACAGCCATTTGACTGAAATGGTATCGGGTTTCCTGCCTGAGCAGGGGGTTGGACTAGATGACCTTCAAGGTCCCTTCCAACTTTTTTTTTTTTTTTATTATTATTATTATTATTATTATTATTATTATTATTATTATTATTATTATCCGCTGAGCAGAAGAGGCCAGCATGATTTTAATTGAGAATTAATATTATGCTTTTTGAATGACTTGTCTTATTGTCTAGGCCAGAGGTAGGCCACCTTGGCTCTTTTATGACTCATGGACTTCAACTCCCAGAATTCCTGAGCCAGCCATGCTGAGGGGAAAGGAAGAGGTTTCCAACTGAGCCATGCTGGCTCAGGAATTCTGGGAGTTGAAGTCCACCAGTCATAAAAGAGCCAAGGTGGCCTATCTTTGGTCTAGGACAGGGGTCCCCAACCTGTGAACCAAGGTCCATTACCAGGCCATGGCATGCTGGCCACTGGGCCGCAGAACAGGCTGGCCAGTACGTGCACTCACCCCCACTCGTGCTAGCACCGCCGCTACACAAACGGTGCCACGCAGCAAAAAACAAGGCGCCACTAGCGCATACGTGTAAAATGCTTCTTCCTCCCTTTCCCTCCGGTCTGCCAACCGAGAAAGATTGGAGACTTCTGATCTAGGCCAGGGGTCCCCAAACCCTGGTTTCTGGACCGGCACTTGGCTGTGGCACGCCAGAAACCGGTCCGCAGAAACAAGCAAAGCCCCATCCGCGGGATGCAGGCAGCACGCAAAACCACACGCTCTCGGTCCGTGGAAAAACCTTTCTCCCCGGAACCGGTCCCTGGTGCCCAAAAGGTTGGGGACCTCTGGTCTAGGACGCTGCACATCCTCTCTATGACCTGTTTTCCTGGTTACCTTCTGGGGAGGAGGTGGGCTTCGTGGTATCCGAAGCAGACCACCCAGATTCAGCCACAGTTTTGTCCCATTAACCTTGTGAACTCTCAGCCTTCCTCTTTCTGCTCTATGTTCAAAATGGACAGTGATTAATATTTATATGTGTGGGTGTGGGTATATGTACGTATATAGCATATGGGTATTTGTGTGATGTATGGGTATATTAACATATAGAGCTGGAAGGGACCTTGGAGGTCTTCTAGTCCAGCCTCCTGCTCAAGCAGGAGAACCTATACCATCTCAGACAATTGACTGTCCAGCCTCTTCTTAAAAACCTCCAGGGATGAAGCACCCACAACCTCTGGTGGCAAGCTGTTCCACTAGTTAATTGTCCTCACTGTTAGGAAATTCCTCCTTAGCTCCAGGTTTGCTTCTCTCCTTGGTCAGTTTCCATCCATTGTTTCTTGTCTTGCCTTCTGGTGCTTTGGAGAATAGCTTGACCCCCTCTTCTTTGGGGCAGCCCCTCATATACTGGAACACTGCTATCACGTCTCCCCTATTTCTTCTTTTCTTTAGACTGGCCAAACCCAAGTCCTGCATCCGTTCTTCCTATGTTTTAGTCTCCAGGCCTTGGATTATCTTACTTGCTCTTCTTTGAATTTTTTCCAAACTCTCAGCCTCTTTTTTTGTGATATGGTGGCCAAAACTGGCCGCAGTTTTCCAGGCGTGGCCTCACGGGCGTTTTCCTTTTAGCAGATAAAATTAAGCCCAGCAAGTTTGGACAACTCACTGGCTAGATATATATACCTTCTTTTGAGAGCAGGCAACAAAATTTCATTTTTAATGTGGGCCAGTATGCTCACAGTAAGAAAAAAAAATGACAATAAAGGCGATCTTACCCTATTCGTTAGCTATAAGAGAAATTTGGCTCTCTCTGCTTGCCTGATTCTTTCTGTTTTTCTTTGTATTCAGCCATCTGAAACCTCTGATGAGGGGGACACTTTTTAATCTCCTAATTTTGGGCCGGTGCATAGAGGCCATCAGGTGGTTTGTCAATGAAAGAAGGGCTTGCCTCTCTCTTGATTTGTTCCTTGGTATGAAAGAAGCTGTC